AAGAGAGCAAGTGGCATAAATATATTCCCTACCTAATATGTGACAGCCATTATAAGACACTGTGGGTATGGCTTGGAGACATTATGATGGTCATCACGTGCCTGCCTTAATGAACGCTACAGCTCTATGAGGAAGTAGGTATTAATCTAGTAGTCACACAGTGAATAAAATGAGACATAAGTTTTAAAGGTTTTATGATGTACTTTAAAAAAAATCTCTAGTAGATCAAGATCTATCTAGTGGTTTGTCTTTTTTGTGTTTCCCTTGGTATTTTTTAAAAATCAGAACTTTAATATTAACTTGTCTAAGTACATAAAAGTGTGTTGGCATTTTTGTTGGGATCACATTAAATTTTTAAAATAAAACAGGAAAAACTGACGTCTTAATAATAGGAAGTGATTCTATCCCAAGTCTTTCTATTTGTTAAGCCTAATTTATATTTTTTAGGGTGTTTTTAAAGTTTTCTATATGTAGACTTTGCACATTTGTTACACTTAATCGTATGTCAATTTCTTCATTGACATTGTAAATGAGGCTTTCTCTAACAGTTTGGTTCTATAATACATTTGTTTGCATATATGAAGACATTTGATTTACTTGTGTCAATTTAAAATTCTTTCAGTTTTAAAATATTTGATTTAGTTTTAACAATGAATCCATGACTTTTGAAGCAGATTGTTTTACTGCTTTTATTTCCTTACCAATTCTTTTTTCTTTCTTTCTTCTTCTTTTTTTTTGTTGGTTGTGGGACTTGAACTCTGGGCCTGGGTGCTGTCCCTGAGCTCTTCAGCTCAAGGCACATGCTCTACCTCTTGAGCCACAGCACCCTTCCAGTTTTCTGAGTGGTTTATTGGAGATAAGAGTCTCACAGACTTTCCTGCCTGGGCTGGCTTTGAGCCGCAATTTCAGATCTCAGCCTCCTGAGTAGCTTGGATTACAGGCGTGAGCCACGGGTGCCCAGCTTTTACCAATTCTTGTATCTTTGCTCCAAGGAAGCAGCAAACCCTTATGTAAGGGTCTGACAGAAATTTATTTTAGTCTTTGTCTCTATTACTAAACCATACACATTAAACCAATAGGTATGGCTATGTTTCAATAAAATTTTATGTACAAAACAGGTAGCAAGCTGCTTAAATTTGGCATGTAGGTGAGTTTGCCAGTCCTTATTAGATGATTTGTGCAGTCAGTTACTACCTCTAGAATAATGATGAAAAGTAGCTGAAACAATGGCTGCCAACATGGAAATGCTCCATTTAGAAAAACATCAGCATTAGGATTAAGTTATGTGTGCGCGCGCGCGCGCGCGCGCACGCACGCACGCACGCACACACACACACACACACGTTTAGTAGTATTCTCCAGTTTCTTTTTTCTTGAGTGCTTTCATCAGGGACAGAAGTTGAATTTAATCAAAGGTATTTTCCACATCCATAGAAATAACACAAATTTTTATGGGCTGGGAAGGTGGCTCAGTGGTAGAGTGCTTGCCTTGCATGCATGAGGCCCTGGGTTCAATTCCTCAGAACACATATGTAGAAAAAGCCGGAAGTGGCACTGTGGCTCAAGTGGTAGAGCACTCACTAGCCTTGAGCTGAGGAGCTCAGGGACAGCAAATTTTTTTATACTTCAGATTTATTTTCATTACAGCTCATATGTATAGTCTTGACAGTCTTTAGCAAAAAATTCTTAAACGAGCCCTATGTTTGTAATATATAATGAAACTTTTTTTTTTAATTTGGTCGTGGGGCCTGAACTCTGGGCCTGGACACTGTCCCTCAGCTCTTCAGTTCAAAGCTAGCACTCTACCACTTGAGCCACAGTGCCACTTCTGGCTTTTTCTGCTTATGTGGTGCTGAGGAATCAAACCCAGGGCCTCATGCTTGCAAAGCAAGCACTCTACCAATGAACCACCTTCCCAGCCCCTATAATAATACATTTTTAACAATATAAGGATGAAGAGTACAATTTACATGATAGAAATATACCTTAAGTTGTATGCAGATAGTAATAATGACTCTTGCTGACAAAGGAAAAATTTACAAACTTATTTTCTGATATTTTCACGAGTATTTATGAATGATATTGGGATATTTCTGTACTGTGAGAAGTCCTTCCTTGTTTTTGATGATTTGGAATATTTTCCAGAACATTAGAAATATCTGATCTTTGAAGGTTTGGTAGTATTTATAGAACTATCTGAATTAGATGCTTTATTACACAGATCATTTTGTATAAAATTTGCATGCTGCAGATTTCTAAGTCTAGTACTAGCCATTTGTGGTAATAGGTGTTTACCTAGGACATTATTTAACTTACAAAGCAACCAAAAAAGTAGTTTCATGATTTAAAATTCCTCCATGGTTAAGTGGTTTGTTGCCTGTTTGTGTAAATGGAATTTTATTGGACACATCCATGCCCATTCATATCTGTCTATGCTACAGTAACAACTGACTACTGTAAGCCTATCTTATTTGTGGATTTATTACATTCAGTTGTGGCCAAGTATGGTCCAAAAAACAAGATTTTATTTTAATCAAAAGAAAAAAGCCAGGTGCCAGTAGCTCACATTGCTCATCTAACTACTTTGAGGCTGAGAATAGGAGGGTCGTAGTTCAAGGCCAGCCAAGACACAAAAGTTCATGAGATCTCTTCTATAACCATAGCTGAGTTGTCTGTACCTGTAATCCCAAGCTCCCTGGTAAGTTGAGAAGTGGAGATCCTGGGCAGAAAATGATCACAAGACTCCATTTTCATGCAGGGAAGCTAGACCCGTGGAGTGATTTTAGCTATGTTGGGAAGCAAGACCCTCTCCTGAAAATAACCAGTAGAAAGCAGGGCTGGAGGCATAGCTCAGCCTTAGTGCTGCCAAATTATAAAAATTATAAATTCCTATACAGGTATTATACAACTCAGATGCTGTGAGCTTATTTCAATCAATCTAGTGTTATTACCAACTGTGTTCAATCACTGTATGATATGCTGAGCGTTTCCCTGCCCTTTATTTTGTGAGAATATCTCTGTAAAAGACTCAGACATGAAGGCTTATGGTAGAATTATTCGTAATAGCCTCCAAATGGAAATGTATATAAAATTTTTCTAGAAACAGCAAGCAGAGTGGTTGTCTTAGGTTGGAGTAGAGAGTAAAATTAGGCACATGGAAATATTTGTGTGGAAATGTTACAAAACTGAACTGAGGTGATTTTCATATAACTTTCTAAGCTTATCAAGTACCATTATAGATGAATTTTACAGTTCATGCAAGATACACCTCACTAAAATTGTTTTTAATGAAGTAAAATGTAAAAATGGCTAAGGATAATATTGGTTGCCTATGTTTCTAACTCCCAATATTTCTATAAATAATACAGAACATAACTAAAAGGAGGAATGAAGGACTGGGTATGGCTCAAATGGTACAGTACTTGACTAATAGGCATGAGGCCCCAAGTTCTATCTCTAGTACTACAAAAAGAAAAAAATGATTAAGAAGAAATGAGCTGCTTGGCAACTATGCTCAGCATGAGTTGAAGAAAATGTCCCAAATTCAAAATAATTATAAATAGGATGGAAAACCCCTCTCCAAATTGAAAAGTTGAGTCCATCTAGGAAAAAAACCACCAAAACTGCGAGGTCATATAGCTTCATCAGGAAATTGTGGAGCGCTTAATTAGCCCCTCTGGCTCTCTTCTTTCTGTCCGTTAAATTTTTGACTAGTTGTCATTCAGCCACTTGCTCAATCAGGAGATCAGAATTGTTGCTCTCCTTGGTCATTTCCTATTAACTTTGTCACTAATTTCACTGGCAGTGAGTTTGATGCTTTTATTGAGAATAATGGCAAGCAAGGTTTTTTCTACACTCAGGCCCAAATTCAGTCAGCTGTTGGCTTTCACAACCAATCTTAACTGGTAGAAGAACTAGAAGAACTAGCTTAAGCTTGGGAGGAAGATAAGAACTGCCTTCAGCAGGATTCTCATAGACTCTAGTTTATTTCTAGAAATTGAGCAGTTTTTCTAACCAATAAATGCTTCTCTATTTGTTGCTTGCCTTTGCTTTCCAGGGCCCAGAAAGGAGAGGGTTTGTACAGTTTTATAATAGTTTCCTGGAGAGAGGATCTAAATAAACACTCATACTTGGAAATGCTGATCCTCTTTACTGTTAATTTATGTGATTTGAAGCATTTTTTCTCAAGAACATTATAAAAATATGTGTATAATAGATACACATGAATTTTAAATCCAGCCTTTCTACAATTAGTACATAAGATTAGGATCATTTGTAAAATATAATCTGTCAAGTTTGAACCATTGTTTTCATAAGTTTTGTTGTAACATAACTATTCTAATTCACTTGCCCATTCTTGTCCATGACTACTTTCATACTAAAACAGCAGGATTGAGTAGTCACTAAAAAGTTCACGTGGCTCACAAAGCCTAGCAGACTTATTATCTTGTACATTACACTATGTTTGAGCATTATTATATCTTAGTTAATGTTATAATGATCGTAACAAATAATACTATTTCTGAAAATAGTGCTGTAATTATCACTCTACATAACAATCATGTATTAATTTCATATCCATTTTTTCTTAACCCCATGTGGCAAGATGGATCTTTAAATTTTCTTTTATCAGATTTCAAAATGAATAGGAAACATATTTAAGTTATATATCCTAAAAATTAATATTCGTTTAAGTTAGTCTAACAGTCCTAGAATTTAACAGGAAAATATAACTAGACTATAACAAATATTACAGTAATTTCTAGAAGAACATTCATTTTAAAAGTACTCTTTTTATGTTCAGTTCTGCTTGCATTAAGCCTGCTCTGGCATTACCTAACTACTGCAAAGTCTTAGCCAGGAGAAAAATGCATATTTTTTCCTTGGCATTTTCAAATATTCTTGCTTAGCTATTAGTTTTTAGTTGAGCATGGTATTTAAAGTATTGAATGCGAAGTACTTCCTTTTATGGAATAAATTTTCAATTCAACATAGCTTACCTGTTAGAAGAACCATTCAGTGTTTTTTGCTGAATAATATGTCTGTGGACAGATCCAAAGGAAGGAAGATCATCTGGAAGTGATTCTTCCCCTTGAGGAACTAAAGACAGCCCAACAAAAGCATCACTTAGCATATCCCCTCTGTCCAAAGGCCCCAAGAGTTCTGTAAAAAATGATTAAGACAGGGATCAAATACAATTTCAGCTAACTCCTACATATGTTCCAATTACAGAAAAACTTCACAGATCCCAATGGAATTCTTCCTTTATCTTGTCAACGTGCTATGTAGCACACAATTAAAATAATGAAACTCCCAGTCCCTCATGACTTCAGCCATTTTTATACTTACTTCAACAAAAGAGTTGATAACAACATCATGATTTCAGATTCAGATTTTTTAAAATTCATTTATACTTTTGCCTATTCATAATGCTTTTGTAAGCACTTTATTAACCAAATCTTTTTATACTGTCACACAATTTATTTCTGGAATATTGTAGAAGTCAATTTTACTCTTCTGTATTATGCACACTTTGAAGAGGAAAAGCTGTTGCTCAATATTTTTCAACTACTGTTAATTAGTGTTCAGGATAAAACCAGGACTCTGCACACTGTAGGCAAATCACAACCACTGCTTTCAACTAGCATTATCAAGTATATATACAGGGTATATTTCCATATCATACAGATGTAAGCTGTAGAGACACCTTAGCCACTTTGACAGATAAATGCTTTAAAAAGTTGTTTGGAATAGAGATTATAAAAAATGTACATATTGTCAGAAATACAAGGCTTCTTAAAAATCCAAGAAGGCTGTGGACCACAATATCTGTCAGTTTAATAACTGTAGCAAGAAAACCACAGAACTTAATTTTTGCCATCCCTAATTTCAAATGTACAGTTCACTACTGTTAAATATATTCATTGTCGTGCAGCATGTCTAGAACTCTTTCATCTTGCAAAACTGAAACTGCATCTATTAACAATTAATCATTCCTCCTTTTTTTCCAACTGTGAACATACAATTTATTATAGGAGATATGACTTAACAAGCTAGAAGAAAATATTAATATTTGACACAACAGAATGTGTGAGGGTTGGACAGCAATGCTAACAGATACATACTTGCACATATTAAAAAACATTCCTCCCTCCTTGCTGCCCCTAATAACCACCATTTTATTTTGTTTATATAAACATGATAAATTTAGATACTTTGTATAAAAAATGTCTTTGTTTTATGACTGGCTTATTTCACTAAATATAATGTCTTCCCTCAGTGTTATTCACATCATACTACGTGATAGGATTTAGAACTTAAGGCAGACTAATATTACATTGTATATATATATATATATATACTACATTTTCTTTATCCATTTACTTAAATATGGACATTTCAGTTGCTTCTGCCACCTGGGTATTATGAACTATGAACATGATTGTACGATTATCTACTTAAGAGTCTGCTCTAAGTTCTTTTGAATATAACCTAGTAAGTGGAATTGATTATGTGAAATTCTATTTTCTATAGTGTCTCTTTTATTCTGTTATGATCTGATAAAATTCAGGAAGTTATTTAAATTTCCTTATAATTGCTAAGACTTGCATAATGTCTTGAAATATGGTCTATGTTGTAGACCTTTCCATGGGCTTCTGAGAAGATTGCTTATGCTGAAGCTGTTTGGAATATTCTGTAGATGTCTATTAAATCTATTTGCTGTATAGTATTTTTTATTTCTGATGTTCCTTGTTGATTTTGGAGGTGTGTGTGTATCTAGATGACTAATCTACTGTTGAGACTAGGGGTACTAACATAACCAACTATGTTGGAGTCTACTTGTGCTCTTCTTTCTAGTAGTATTAATTCTCCTGCACTGGGTGCTTTGAAGTTGCATGTATATATATATTTACAGATACATGCTGTATCAGTATGATGGATTGCTCTCTTAAACATTATGAATTAACTCTCTTGGTCCCTTCTGACTAATTTTGGCTGGCAGTTTGTTTTGTCAGACATGAGTATATAAGCTTTTGGGCTCCATTTGCATGGTAAATCCTTTTCATCCTTTCTTTTTAACTTGTGTTTGTCTTTACTAGTGAGGTCCATTTCTTCCATTTCTTATAGGCAACAAACAGTTGGGTTTTGTTTTTTAATCCAATCCATTAGTCTGTGTTGTTTGAAAAGTTGAGAGCATTAACACCCAGAATTATTATTAAAAATTATGCAGTATTCCCTGGTATTTGGTTGTTTTGTAGTGTTTGATTCTTTCCTGCTCTTCATTTGTCTTTCCTGTATTTTTTTTTTTTTTTTGGTCCTGTCGTGGGGCCTGAACTCTGGGCCTAGGCACTGTCCCTCAGCTCTTCAGCTCAAGGCTAGGGCTCTACTACTTGAGCCACAGCGCCACTTCTGGCTTTTTTCTTTTTGCTTATGTGGTGCTGAGGAATCGAACCCAGGACCTCATGCATGCAAGGCAAGCACTCTACCACTGAGCCACCTTCCCAGCCCCTCTTTCCTGTATTTTTATAGATGCATTTATCTTTCTTTTCTGGTCTTGTCTATCTGATATTCTAAAACCCTCCTGTATCTGGATGACTGTTTCTCTTGAAAAATTTTCTGGTATGTTTTTGAGTATGTTTTTTATGCCTTTAGAGTACACCTTTTTTTTTTTTTCTATGCCTTGACTTGGAGGTTTAGACTTCATTTTTCCTTGTCAGTTGTGGAGCTTGAACTCAGAGCCTGGATGCTGTCCCTGAGCCTTTTTGTGCTCAAGGCAAGTGCTCTACCACTTGAGCCACAGTGCCATTATTGGTTTTTAAGTGGTTAATTGGAGATAAGTGTCCCATGGGGACTTTCCTGCCCTGGCTGGCTTCAAACCATGATCTTCATAGCTCAATCTCTTGAATTACAGGCATGAACACCCAGCACCTGGCTTAGGTTTAGACTTTTAATGGTGTCTCAGAGGTCTTCTGTGTTCCAGTAGTATTTTTAAAAATTATTTCTTTTTTATATGAATGTACTAATATATCCACCTATCTCAAATACAGATTTTTTTTTAATCTAGTCTGCTGGGACACATTCAACTGAGTTTTTTTTTGCACAAGGCCTATTGCTTTGCTTCATTGGTTGATGCTCTGCTCACTTGACCCGTACCTCCAGTCTAGCATTTTGCTGGTTAGTTTGGGGATAGGACTTTCTAACTGTGTTGGTTTTAAATCTCATTCTTCAGATCTCAGCCTCCTGACTAAGTAGGATTTAGGTGTTAGGCACTGGTGCCTGACTCAGCTTTTTATCTGAAGAATCTCAATTTGTTTTCTTCTTCAGAATTTCTATATGTTTTTAAAATTACTGTATTATGTCTTGCATTATCTTTCTTTCATTTGTAGATTTTTGTGTTTATTCAGTTATATATCCAAGCTCATTTAAAATTTGTTGATTTTTTTAATTCTTTGTGATTTCATCTACTTCAATATTGTTAGTGTTTGGTATTTTTAGGTATCCTTAGTGTTGTTTTCACAGAAGAGTCTATAATCTTGTTTTCTTGTATTTCTGCAATTCAGATTTGTGTAACTGAGGCCAACTTGTTGGTTGTTAGTCTTTCAGTTGATATATTCTTAGTTTCAGACAGGACTCTATAGTAGAAGGTTGACATACTATTTCTCACCACTGGACTTGGGGTATGGCACAATAGTTAAATACTCATTGATATAGTCAGGGTAGCATACTTGATCCAAAGCACTGCTCACATCAAGTAAAACTAACAGAGTCTGTTGTAGAAGGGCTGGCTGTCTGTTTCTGGCATGTTTTCACGATAGTAGCTTGTCTTCATTATGCACTTGGAGACACAGCTGGCTAAGACACAGGGCTCTCTGTCTCACTTGGCAGCAAACACATTACAGTTCCTGGAAGTGGTTCTTAGTGCTTTCAGGCTATGTCCTGCAAGTCATCTCCCTATGGAAGTCAGGAGGCTGTAGAAACCATCTGATGTGAAAGGTTTGGGCTTGGAGCTCTCAATCCCACCTGGCAGCTAACACATGCAATTTAGTTCCCAGAGGCAGGTGTTAGTGTTTTTAGACTATGCCCAGCAGTCCACTGTCCTGTGGAAGGGAGCATGGAAATTGAATGATCTGGAGAACATAAACTGAGGGCTCTCTGTCCCTTAGAACAACAACAACACACCACAGGAAGCAGTTCCCAGAGATGGGTTCAGTGCCTTCAGAACCTACCCAGTAGTTCGCTTCCTTTGAGAGTGAGTAGATTATGGAAATCACATGACTCAGAGGGTCTTGGCTCAGAGATTTTGGACCCATCTGGCAGCTAACACATGTGGCCAAGAGTCAGGCTTAGAGACCATACACTACATCACCCTTGGGCTCTTAACACTTAGATGATGGGACTTGCTCCTCACCAAGGAGGTAGGTCCTCCAACTACTAGGTCATTCACTGCCTGAGCTTTCTACTGCTTGAACCTCTGCGGGTCCACACCACATGCTCTCCCTTCCCATGACTATCTTCTATCCAGACACTGTGGCAGGGTATACCAAAACTACCTGAGCCATGGCTGTGCCTTGCTACCAACCCCCTAATATAGCTAATTCCCAAACACTGAGCCCTCTCTCAAGATAATGCCTTGTTTTAGCAACCAGAAATAAGTGGAACAGCAGAATGTCATTTTTTTTTCACTGAAGCTAGCCTTCTACACAGGAACAGACAAAACTGTCTGACCAAATCCCTGTATTGGATCTAAGGCTTGTAGAGGTATAGATAATCCTCCTGCTAGAATTGTCAGTGTGTGCCAGGACCTTCTGGTTTACCTTGAAATTGTATTTTTGGCTTCCCCTTCCTGTTGGATAGGGTAGACAGAGCTTCAGATGGTTTCTAATTTTCTCTGTCAATTTCCTTTTGTCTATGCTTTTCAAGTATTTAACTACCTCCTCACAATTCCTAATACTCTCTCTCTTTCTCTCTCTCTCTAACTGACTCTTCTCAATCAGGCCACCAAATGTAGGATGCTCTAATCTACCAGCTTGCTCCACCCTATTGATACATATGGCCTTCAACTTTTCTCTTTGCATTATTTTTAGTGTATCTCATCAATATAAGTATGAGGTTGGTTTTACTTTCATTTGAAACAAAACATTTTCTAATTTCTTTTGTGCTTT